GTTTTTTGGCTTGTCAGAGGCCTGTCAATCATAGAGCCCATCCACAGTTGCTCTGCTGTTTCAGCTTTAGAATCATCCTGTGGGGCAGGGTTTATTAGTCAAGGGATCCTGTGGCTCAGAAGTCTCAAATTTCCAATGGTTAAATGCTAACTTTGGTATTTTGCAGCAGTGTCTCATTATCAATCTCTCCTTCTCATGAATTTACAAGATGGATAGAGATATTGAACCTCTCCCTAATAAAAATTCAACTGTTCGTTGTTTTACCATATGCTATCCCTTGTGTGTTGTTATCAATAGTAAACTTACCCGACATGCTATTAAGAAAGGAAAAACTGCCAAAACGCATTGCTTAAATTATGTTATTTCTTGTTAAATTCTAAAACGCAACATGTTTCAGGTTTTTAAAAATTCTATTTATTTATTTACCATTTTATTAGTTGTTTTAAAGTTACCACACAAAGTAATTTGCCTCATTGTGATCTTTCATTTATACAGACACACACACTTACATGCACACACACTTCTTTTTAAATACTATTTTGTGTATATATGCACTTACATGGAGGTCAGATAACAACTTGTAAGAGGTGGTTCACTCTACCATGTGGGTCCCTGAGATGGACTTAGGTCATGGGGCATGGTGACAAGCCTTGCTGAGCCACATAATCAGCACTATTATACTTTATTCTTATTTATACTAGTCACACACTGTCCTCTGTGTCCTTCACCACCTAAATAGTCCATTATGCTTTTATGTCACATATATTCCATCTTCCATCTTCACTTTCTATCATTTCTTTTGACATTTATATATAATAAATACACACATGTATGTCACATATATTCCATCTTCCATCTTCACTTTCTATCATTTCTTTTGCCATTTATATATAATACACATATATGCTAAATCTAGATTCTGCATATGACAAAAACCTTCCTGTTTCATCCATTCTCCTACTAAAGAACACATCACTCTTGTCAAGAAGTGTTGGCACTAGCCTTTAATCCCAGCACTCGGGAGACAGAGGCAGGTGGATCTCTGTGAGTGCCAGACCAGCTTTCTCTACAGAGTGACTACCTGAATAGCCAGGGCTAAATGAAGAAACTGTCTCAAAACAAACAAACAACTCCCCAAACATAAAACAACAACAAAAATATGATGCTGAATTTACAAAGTGATCATTCAACTTCTGTGAGTATCTTTAATGTATACGAGGTTTACCCAAAGCTGTTAATTCAAACTGTGCACACATGCCAAAATCCAAGAACGTCAAAGCAAATGCATTTACACTGCACTGCTTTCTTTCCAGCAACCGTTGGCTGATCTGGAATTTGACCGGGTGGTGATTTATACAACCTGCCTTCGTGTGGTGAGGACAACCTTTGAAAGATGTGAACTGGTTAGAAAGATCTTCCAAAACCATCGCGTAAAATTTGAGGAGAAAAACATAGCTCTGAACGGTGACTATGGGAAAGAATTGGATGAACGGTGCAGGCGAGTCTCCGAAGCGCCTTCCCTTCCGGTTGTGTTCATTGACGGCCATTACCTTGGGGTAAGTATACTGCAGAAGAAACTGCCTTGGTCCTATGTCCCACTTAGACACTGTATGAAAAGATGACTTGTGACATGATCACCTGCACATTGTTATTTGGAGGAGCTCAGACCAAAGGGCTTGGAGTTTTATTTCTATTCCAAACAATGCGATGCTGTGTTGCTCATCCTGGTGAGATGAAATCAGTGTGAAATTGCTTTGTTGAATAGCAACACATCCCTGACATGCTCAGTTAACTTTGACTTTAAAAACATTGATTCAAGATAAAACTACACTTTTTGTGTAAACAAGAAGAGAATATTTATAAAAGGAACATTTGTAATATTTTTAAAATTCTCCATAATCAAATATTCAGTTTCTTACCTAAAGAAACAAAAATTATAGACCTCTAGTGAGGGCTGGAGGCAGAATTTTATCTTCTTATGTTTAATATCTTTTGTTGAGTTTGGTAATAGGTCAGTGTGACACAGATTCGGGCTTGCAGATAAGCAGAGAGACCCCCAGGTTCTAGAAGAGCAACAAATGTGCCTCCTTCTTGCCCTCTGATTAATACTGCTAGTGTTGTTAATTCCCTCTGATTTATGAACACACTTGGGTAAAACAACACAGGATACGGCTATTGAGAGAATGAGAACGAAGAGCCCAGGGGTGTACCAACTACTGAATGGTGCTGCTGACCAAATGATCCTTTATCAGCGATCAGACTTTCAGATCTTAGAAGGATGCTTGGATCTTGGTAATGCTCAGCATCAAATTTTAACTTTTAACTTTGAGGGATTCAGAAAAATCCACATTGGGGGGGATTCTTGCTTGGTTTCAGGGAACTTGTGTTTGTTACACTGACTACAGCTATTGTTGTTGGCGGCAGCCTGTTATCTAAGGGAAAGATAAAGGCCAAGAATCCATGATTACATAGTTATGGTGGATGTAATTTTGTTTTAATGAGAACTGGAAAAGCACACTAACTTTTGAAATAAAGGAATTTTGACTTGAAGTATTGATCCTCTTTCTTGTGTGTTTCAACATATATATACTCTTAGGTCCCAGAAAACAGTGGCTTTACTATGTGTCTTAGTTAGGGTTTTATTGCTGTCAAGAGACACCATGACCATGGCAATTCATACAAAGAAAGCATGGGAACATGCAGGAAAACCTCATGGTTGGGAGGTATCTGAGAGTTCTACATCTGGATTCGAAGACAGCAGAAAGAGACAGTGAGCTACTAGGCCTGTATAGAGGTTCTGAAACCTCAAAGTCCACTTTTCCAGTGACACACTTTCTCCAACAAACCACACCTGCTCCAATAGGCCAAACCTCCTAAGTGCCATTCCTTATGTGCCTGTGGGGGTTGTTTTTGTTCCAACCAACACACTCCTAAGTGCCATTCCTTATGTGCCTGTGGGGGTTGTTTTTGTTCCAACTAACACAGTGTGTAAGTTCAATTTCAGTGAAACTATATGATGATGGACAACTTTCAGCATCCTCAGGTATAAGGTTGTCTGCACTTATATGCTGTTCCATCCAGAATCCATAACACATAATTTCTATATGCTTCTGAGGCTATGTACCAGGCCGTGACACCTGTCTTATCATTTGTCTTTCAGTTGGAGGGACAGAGGCTAATGCCTTAAATGTGGTCATGATCCTGGCTCTTTCTCAGTTGTGTCTTCCCTCTGGTCTTTTTATGTGCATGCTCAGCACCTAGAAGAGGGAGGTGACAGGGGTAACTCTGCTGCTTCTGTAATTTGAGTCTGCTGCTCTGCACCTGGGGGGTGTCAGAAAACAGAGGCATTTTCTTCTTCCCTCTCAGAAAGGGAGAATGATTTCTAACCATACAATTCAAAATGGCAGAGTCCTGAATAACTTGTATCACAACTCTCCTCCAAACCCAGCCAGCTGTTGTTTGAATCTAGATGCAGAACCATCAGTGGAACACATTATGAAGAATTTCCTCTGCACGATTCATGAATCTGAAATGGAAGGATGCCCTCTGCTGGGTTTTGGCAGATTATGAAACATTGTTTTTAGGGAGGAAATTTGACTGCTGCTGGTGACTTCCCTAACATCTGTGGTGTTTTAAACAGCCGCAGGAAGCCATTTAAGGTAGTTTGAAATAAGGTGTGTGAGAATGATTGGTGTGTGGGAATCATCTATACAGTGCAACTTTGTTTAAAGAGGGAGAAATAGAGCAGGCAGAGAACTAGAGAGGCAGAAAGAGGGACAGGGCAGACGGAGACAAACTTCAAACAGAGATAGGGCAGGGAAAGCAGGGCAGTGTCTGGTAGCTTTCCTGCTGATTTACCATCTTCACCAAGACCTAGGTGGGTGATGCTGGCTGAATTCATTGTGTTCTTCCAAGAGAAGCCAGTGAGCTCAACAAGCAAGAATGGAAGAATCAACAAGAATACTTTTTCCTATAGTTTCTGACTCCAACAAAACTAAAAACTGAAGATGGAAGCAATAAAATGCTCATCGAGAAAAAAATAACTTTAGCAAATAAAATTTCACAGCCCAGGGATGCTTTCTGGGGGATAACGGGGTACATTCATCTCAGAGCTGGTTTCAGTAATTCTCCTGATATTTTGGCATCAGAACATAGTCCCATGAAAAGATTATGCCCTAATACCTTAGTCATAAGAAATACCTTAGGCATTCCACTAAAAAATGGACTAGAAATCATGGTTTTTCTGGACCAACCATCGAATCTACACTGGAAACCTACACAATTCATGTTGGAATGAGGCTACAAACAACATGTAGGTTTCCAGTGCATTTCACACTTAGTCTACACTAAACTCCTAACAAAAATTCTTGGTTTGTTCTTAATTAACTTTAGATCACTATAATTATTTTTTCTTTTATAGCACCTTTTTTAAACTTGTTAACTCCTTTGTAAATACAATTTAAGATGTAAACAAATTGCACAGCTCTGCTAGAATACTTTCTTTATAGTCTTATTTGCTAAATTTCAAGAGTGATCCTTAGAAATGTTTAGAACTGTTCCTGGAGTCTATATTCTTAGGCTGAAAAGCTGTGCCCAATAATAAATGCTGTCATTCTTTCACGGAGCAATACCATCCTTTAAGTAGATACAGAATTATCAGTTGTGAGACTTCAGAATTGACTAATTAAAGAGGTTTCTGTAGATCAATGGTGGTTTGCCATGATGCCGTTTGTGCATGTAGGAATGAACAAAGATTTTTTTGTTAGGAGTTCAGTGTAGACTAAGTGTGAAGTGTAATGTTCATGGTCTGCCAGGTCTTCACACTCTCCCTCCCACTATTCACTGGCTGACTTGTCCGGAACAGCTGCTGGTTCAGCAAGCTCTATCCATGGTAAGTATAGTGTCACCAGAAAAAAAATCTTTAAAAGTCATATATATTTTATTCATTAGTAAGGACTAAAGACTTAACTGAGAAGAGTAAAGCACCCAAATGCTCTTTTCTTTAAAAGTTTTAAAATTAAGATATAATTATATCACTTCCCTCTTCTTTGTCCCCCTCTAACCTCTCCTGTTCCCTCTTTACTCCCTCTCAAACTGATGACCTCTTTATTATTGTTAAATTTATCATATATTATTTATTCTTGCCTGAACACACATATTTAACAGTTTGAGGCTAGGATTCACGTGAGTGAGAGGATACAGTTTTTGTCTTCTGAGTTTTTACCTCTCAAAATATTTTTAGTTCTTCCCATTTTCTTGAAAATTTCCTAGTTTCATTTTCCTTTATGCTTGGATTCCATTGACTATATATATGACATTTCCATTATCCAGTTATCTGTTGATGGATATTGAGAGTGAGTCCATTTCTTTGCTATTGTGAATAGAGCAGCAACAAACCTGAATGTGCTAGTGTCTCTGTGGTAGGATGTCCCTTGGGTACATGCCAGGGGTGGTATAGCTGGGTCATATGGCAGTTCTCTTTTTAGCTTTTGTAGCAAATCTTGAGAGTTCCTTCATAAGCTTCCCCAGTAACCAGTTCTTGCATTCAGAATACTGTCAAGGGCTTTCCAGCAGAGAACGAGGCCAGCCCCAGTGAGTAAATAGCTTGGAGCCCTCTTCATGTAATTTGTGCTTTTATGTCACTAATTTCAACAGAACCTATAATCAAGTCCAGGTTGAAAATGGAAATGGACTGTACCTCTTTATGGGAGGAATGTCTGTGCCTAGATTATGCTATGTTTCAGAGAATATAATAAATATGTGAACATTTGTGGTCATGCCTGCAATAAATTTAATTCCAGGCTTCTGTCTGACTCAAACATACCCACTGTTGTCCCGAATTTTCAGGTTGAAGGACCAGATACTTTTGTCTGAGCAAAACTATTAAAAAAGCCCTAACCCTCACATGCCTATGAATTGTATTTGTGTTTGCTACTAGAAGTCTGGCTTTGTGGATTTGAATTGAAGTACTACATTTTCTCAGATTTCCACAGTTACAAAGCATCAAATTGCCATTTTTTTTCAGTTCTACAACGTCATCAGCAGCATCCTGCTATAGCCTTGGTCAAATCTTCACTTTCACCCTTACAATTTTATCTGCTTATCTAGTCTAATTCTTATAGAAGAAATGCTGTTTCTTTCTCCCCTGTTTTTAGTCTCTCTCTCTCTCTCTCTCTCTCTCTCTCTCTCTCTCTCTCTCTCTCTCTCCCTCTCTCTCTCTGTATTTATTGGTGCGCAAGTGCAAGTGTTTACAGGAGTATGTAGAGGACTGAGGCTAACCTCCATGTCTGTTCTTCAGGAATGCTGCCCACTTTTATTTTTTTTATTTTTTTTGACATAGAATCTTCCTCTTTCTGGAAACTGTTAGACTGGCTGGCCAGTGAGCACCAAGCATTTACCCCTGCTTCCCAGTGCTGGTATTAACGAGTCAACCCAATCAGAACATGGGTTGTGAGGATCAAACTAAAGTTGTCAATGCTTATATGGCATCTTAGTCACTATTTTGTTGCTGTGTAGAAACACGATGACTATGGCAACTCTTGTAAGAGAAATCATT